AGACAGCATGATCCAAGGTGAAAGGAAGTTAGCAGGAACAGGCAAAGAAGGCAGAGGACAGGATGTCAACATCGGTTTCTAATCTACAGACATCTAAGCAGCAAGGTAACAAGCTTTAGATGGGGCTTGAGTCTGGATCTAACCAGTGGAAATAAAATCTGTTTGTATTTTTAATCAAATGGATTGAAGAATGAAGAGGTCTCTGCAGCTCTAATCCCGGTGATTGAAAGATGTTCCTACCGCTCTTTCCTCCACCTCAGCACTCCAGGATTTCTCCTCCACCTCAAGCCTGTCTAGTTCCAGAACTACAGATGAAGTATCAATACCAAAGAAATGAGCTGGACATCTACTTCATTTCTTCAATTTAAACCATTTTCAATGCCTCTTCTCCCTCTAGGGCCTCTTTTTCCACACACTTTTCCTTTTGAACCTTCGTCCTAAGAGCCTCTGGTTCTGTCCTTCAGTTCTCTCTGCTCCAAAAGTAAAAAGGGACTGCGTTGAATCAACATAAAGGGGACCGTGGGAAGGGCCAGTTCACCATAAGTAACTTACCTACACATTCTATAGCACACACAGTATGTTGTCTGTATGCAGAAAGTATATTCTGCCACCAATGCTTCTGAGCCTGGTCAGAAACCCCATGGGCTGGCACTATACTCAAGCTGCTGAAGCAATCTACAGATATGTTTCCCAGGGCACTCAGGAGGCTTTCCCAACCTGCCAGGGGAGCGTGAGAGCACATCACACAGCCTCAAAGCCACCACCATCTGCGAGCATCTGATCCCTTGCTTTTTCTATCATTTCTATCAGCCCAGAAGAGGCAAGCCAAGACTCCTGTCATCCACTCTTCAGATCCCCACGACCTGTTCCACTCAAGTTCAAAATCCTGTAATGCACATACAGAAACTGTGGCTCTATAATCCTATTCGATCTCATAAAAGGACCCAAAATACCAAAAAAAAAAAGAAAAAAATGTTCAGCCCAAACCAAATAGCCTTATTTTAGCTGGAATTCTGCCAAACAGCCACAAGAGGCTGGCGAGGTATAACTGTGATGGAGTGGAGCTCGGCAAATCTCATTGAAAACCCGGTAAGGTTCCATGAATCAGGTCGAATGAAAAGGTACACCTCTTTTTAGAGTGAGGTTTGTCTGCGGTTTGAAAAGTCAGATCCAAAGGACTCTTTGCTCCTTCGTAAAGGTTAAACTGACGAATGGGGTGGGGGTGGGGGGCGGAATTCAAACTCCTGGGGATTTACAGGCCACTTTTATAAAGGTGTTTTTAAAAACGAAAACCTTTTTCAGCCCTTATTTCTAGAAAGTAATTTTGTTGCAGGTGATCTTGCATGTACTTGGGCACCAAGGAAAAAAGACACCTGTGCCTAACAGGTCGGTAACACTACCAACGTGCCCCGGGTACCAAGGGAACGAGAGATGCTCTGATTTCTGGATAAAAGATTTTCTGCAGCGCCAGGTAAGAGATCACATGCCCTAAAACGGCCGCAGCTCATTTGGAGTGATGAAAAAGCTCCTTGGATATTAATTTTATTAGAAATTCCGAGAAGCAAGCAAACCTCAGATCGCATTCATTTTAGACTCCGGGCGTCTGGTACTTTCCAGTTTCCTGTGCATCCTCTCTCGCTCCCTACTAGAAAAGGGTGGGCGAGATGGACAGCAGCAGCAGCCCATGCGTTCCAAGGGGGTACCCACAGGGCGATCGCAGTCTCTCCGCCCCCCCCCCCCGGCACCCCACCCCACCCCCCCCCAACCCCCGCTCCATGTCCTACGCACAGCCCCATCCCAGGACGTTCAATTCGCCCCGAGACTAGGAACCCCCTACCCATGCCCGCCTGGCCGGGGTGGCGGGAGGGGACCGGGCGGGGGGGGGGGGGGGGGGTGGAAGCAGAGTCCGGCCCCGCGGTCACCCTCCGGACTGCGGGCGCCGCGCCCCGTCACGCCCCGCGGCGCCTGCCTCCCCTCGCCCGCCGCCCCCCGCGATCGCGGCGTGTCCTCCGCAGCGGGGGTGGCGGGGGTGGGGGGGCCCCCGCCGCGCGCCCTCCGCAAGCCGCACCGCCGGCCCGCCGCGCGCGCCCGGGGTTGGGGTTGGGGTTGGGGTTGGGGTGGGATGGAGGGGGGGGGAAGAGCCCGCTCCACTCACGCGGGAGGCAGCGGCGGCGTCTCCATTGTGGCTCCTCGCGGGGCTTCAGAACGCAGGAGGCACCGACCGCCGCCGCCAGCACCATTCCAGCCGCGGACGCCGCCGGCACTGTCCGCCCGCCGCCCAGCCGCGTTCCATCCGCCCCGAGGGGGCGCCGCGCTCCCTCACCGCGCGCCACCACCTGCGGCGGCGGCGGCGGCGGCGGCCCCCGCGGCCATGGCCCGTCGGCCCCGCGCGCTCCTGTGCCTGGCGCGGCTCCCGCGCTCCCCCGAGTGCGGGGCGGCGGCGGCGGCGACGGTGGCGGCGACGGCGACGGCGGTGGCGGCGGCGGCGGCGGCGGCGGCGGCGGGACGGGCGAGCGCGCTGCTCGGCCACTTCCGGGTTCTCCCGGCCGGCGCCGACGCCGTGACGGGCGGGCGCTGCGGCCTCCCGCGGCGGAGGGACCCCTCCCTCGGCGCCGCCCCTTCCTCCGCGGCGTCTGGAGGAGGCGGTGGCGGGCGAGCCGGCGAGCGGGTGCCCGGAGGGACCCCGGGACCGAGGCTGGAGGATGGGCCGCGGTGGGGAGGGTTCGTGCGGAGGAAGGGCGCTCGCTCGCCTCTGCACGGCTCGCTCTGATTCACGGGCGTGTGCACGTCCGTCCTCCTCTTTGAGTGCCTCTCCCCCCCCCCCCGGGGGGGCGGGGGGGCAGGCCAATCGCTGCCTTTCCAAAGGGGGAAACCGAGGCAATAAGAAAAAAAAAAAAAAAAAAGAATCGGGTGTCCCAAGCCTGAAGCTAGGGGTCTTTCCTGGGTGTTCCCTAATCTGGTCCTTGGGCAAGTTGAGATGAGCACCTGCTTGGCAGAGGTTGGGGGACGTGACAGAGCCAACGCGGGCCGCTGAGTTTAGCAAGCTGCTGCCGATCTGGACGTGATAAGAGAAACAATAAGCCGAGGATGGATGCCCCACTGTGAAGAAGAATAAATTGCGGTGAGGATAGGGCTTGCTGTAGGACGAGGAGTGATCAGGAAGGCCTCTTGAGGTATCAGTTAAACACGGATGAATCAACATGAACCTTGAGTAACGCAAGGGATGAGTGCCCAGGGCTAAGGCAAAAAACAGTGAAGATCCCCGTCAGCAAGATGCCTGTCCTGTTGAGGAAAAGGTAGAGCAGGAAGGTGGGGGATTCTCCACGAACGCCTGCTAGAGGAAGAGACACCTGGGAACTTAGAGATGGGAAGTCTCCAGTTCCACTCCAAACTTAACTGCTTCGGCAACCTCGAGGTAGAGCCAGGATTCCCTGCTTAAAGGAGTCCTCCAGATGGTGCTGGTGCCTGCTAAGGTCCGAGGCTCTCTACTGTAGCTGAGGCTGAATGAGACCATTACTGACCAAAAAAGGATTACGGTTAGTTGTGCAAGTGATACACATTCAGGATGTGAAAAGAGCATACCGGGTTAGCCTAGTCGGGATGGAAAAAGAAAGATGGCCTGGACTGGAGTCAGGGTGACTGGAAGAAGTGGTCAGGTCCTAGAAGATAAAACACTCAGTAGGAATCGCTGATGGGCTGGGTGTAAGAAAAAGTAATGTCCTCGATGGTCCTGGGGGTTTTCATTTGCTGAGATTGGAGAGAGTGGGGAAGAACAAGGGGGGGGGGGTGTTTTAGTCTTTGAAAGAGTAAATTGAGATCTTTGTTAAACACTTAAACAATACCTGTGGACCATATGATATGTGTGTGTGTGTGTGTGTGTGTGTGTGTGTGTGTGTGTGTGTCTGGAGTGAACTTAAATGTGGAGCTTGTCCCGTGTGTAGATGGTATGTAAAGTTATGGGATCAGCTGAAATCAGCTCTGTGATGTAGCTACAGAAACAAAGACCAAGAAATGAGCCCTGGGGTACTCCAACATCAAGAAAATAAGTTGAAGGCTCGGATGCAGCTCAGGGACAGAGGGCTTGCCTGGGAGCACAAGGTCCCATCCCTAGCACCGCCAATAAATGCATAAATAAAATAAGATGATGCCCAAAGTGGTGGTGTGTGCTTGTGATCCCAGCACTCTGGAGGCCAAGCGAGGATGCTGACGAGTGGCCTGTTTTTGTAACAGAAAATACTCCTTTGCCATGAGCTTCCATCTCTGCATCCTGGTGCCAGTATTGAGTTACCATAGGTAGGGCCTACGTGATGACTTCTTTCCTTGGTGTTAGTGATAGATTTGTCTAAGCCACAGGAAAACTTGCTTTTTAAGGTAAAAATTGGATAAAATGGTGGATGTAAAGCATGTTTGAGCTCACTACTTCAAGGTAAGCCTGCTTACAGAGTGAGTTCCAAAACCCTGCCTGAGCAACTTAGGGAGACTCAGACTCATTGTAAATTGAATTAAATTAAATAGGGGACTGTAGCTCGGTGGAAGTGCCTAGCATATACAGAGCTCTGGGTTCAATCCCAGCACTGAAAAGAAAAAGAAATGTAAAGGATGTGTCGATCTGCTAGGCACGAACTTTGAACGATCGCCGCCTTTGCATCTCCCCCTGGCTCAGCTTTGTCCATCACGATTTTCTGTTTAATGGGTCCAATCCATCTAATATTCTAAATGTCTAACCAATCTTTTTTTCCCTACCATTCTGTTTGTAGGTTTCAGGAGGAAAGCAGGAAGGGAAGCTTTCTTTAAAAATCCATATGAAGTTCAGTCTTAGGGTTCAGCATCAGTCTGAAGGGCTAGAATCCTAGTGGTGGTACCAACTAGCTCCCTTTTTCTTCGGACAGGAAGAAGAGCTGGCATCCGCATCAGGCAGGGGTTAATCACATGTCTTAACGATCTTGAAACAATTTGAAGATGTAAATTCACTCTGAGCCTTTGTTGTTTTCTGGGGGGGGGGGGGGGGGGGGGGGGGGGAACTGTCAGAACTTTGGCTTTCAGTCATAAAGCAAACTTGGCCTCAGATCAGTAGCAGTTTATAAGGCCAAAGTATCTCTCTTCTCTTCTCTCTCCCTCCCCTCCCCTCCTCTCCTCTCTCTCTCTCTCTCTCTTTCTTTTTTTTTTGTTTTAAAGACAGGGTCTCACTATGTAGCTCTGTTTGTCCTGGAACTCACGATGTAAACCAAGCAGGCCTCCAACTCACAGAGATCTATCTGCCCGCCCTCTGCCTCCCAAGTGCTGGTTTCCATTTCCATTTTTAAGAGTGTCAAGTAACTTCACAAAACTAGTCTTCAGTCAGATGCAGCCACCACACTTAACACTGTCTCCCCATCCACAAGAGCAGGGATATAAAAACGCTCGGCAGGATGAACACAAATCCCTCACCAGGACGGTGGCACAGAGATCGTTAAAGGTGCCCTCGGCTGTCCATTTCACCGTCTTCTTGGGAATGCTGCTCAAGGCCACCAAAGAATTCCGGTTCCCTTTACCCTTGGCTGAAGAACTGATTTAGACACACAGCTGTTTAATCTTTCCTCTGCTTGGGATTTTGCCTACCTTGTGGGGGAAGGGGAATGTGATGCTGGAGATGGACCCAAGGCCTTGAGCATGGAAAGCAAATGTTAAATAACTGATCTACAGTCCGTTTCTTTGTGGTGGTAGGGATCAAGGAATTGGACAATCCAAGGATTTTTGTGTTCTCCATCACTTATTTGCACTCCTAGTCCTTGATTTTTTTGTTTGGTTGGTTGGTTGGGTTTTTTTTTTTTTTTTTTTTTTTTTTTGAGACAGGCTTTTGCTCTATGTCCAGGCTGCCATTGAAGTTAATATTCATACTGCCTCCTGCCTCTGCTTCCCAGGTACACAATTTACAGCATGTGCCGCCATGTCAGTCCTTGATTTTTTTTTCTTACTTTTTTAAGATTTTATTTTTATTCTTTCTGTGTTTTGGGGGGAGGGAGTCTGTGTGGAAGTATTCACACATATATGCAAGTGCTTAATGAGGCCAGAAGGGTAGGCTGGATTACGTGAATCTGCAGTTACAGGTCTTGTGAGCCACTCAATATGGGGGTTGTTAACCAAACCCCAGCCTGCTGTAGGAATAACAGGCACTCTTAATGACTGAGCCATCTTGACAGACCCCTGATATTTCTTTATTAATTCTTCCCCCTTGACAAAGGGATGAAACCCCATAAAAGTAGACCCATTTGTGACACTGGTGAAATAAAACAGTCAGTCTCTAAGACATTGAAATCTATCACTAATGTGACATCGCCAGGAGAGATCACTTGCAAAGAAGAGGGAACCCACAGAGGAGCAAGGGCTTGCCAGTCGCAGTGGCAAGAATGACTTAAACGGAGTTGAAATTGGATGTCGCCGCAGAGCTAGTGGCGGGACCGACCGTCAGGCACAAACGAGTGTGTCACGGCAAGATTCTCAGGGCTGAGAATACCGCTGTGAGGAAGAGACTTCACATCTCTGTAAAACATCCAACAGATCCTACACTGGAAATCCCTTCCACTAGAAAGATGGAAAGTACAAAAAATAAAAAATAAAGCAGATAAGCTGGGGGCCGGGGGCTGGGGGTGGAGGTAGGGGGCTTTCCTAACAGGTGGGAAGCCCTGGCTTTGGTCCCAGCACCTCAAAAAGTGGGGCATGGTAGATGATTGTACCAGGGGTTAGATGGAGCATTATACACACCTATAATCGAAGCACTGGGGAGGTAGAGGTAGGGTGATCAGGAATTCAGGGTCATCCTCAGCTATATTTTGAGTTCAGGGACAACCTGGGCTTTGTGAGACTCTGTCTTAAAAAGATAAACAGACAAGCAGGATGTGGTAACACAGGCCTACCGTTCAGCAGGCTGAAGCAGAAGGATCATTTAAGTCCTGAAGTTCAAGGACAGCTTGAGCAACATTTTGTTTATTTCCTTTAAAGATTTATTTATTTATTACATATACAGTGTTCTGCTTGCATGTATGCCCGCAGGACAGAAGAGGGCACCAGACCTCATTACAGATGGTTGTGAGCCATCATGTGGTTGCTGGAAATTGAACTCAGGACCTCTGGAAGAGCAGCCAGTGCTCTTAACCGCTGAGCCATCTCTCCAGGCCTTGAGCAACATTTTTAAAGACCCTTCTCTAAAATAAAGACAAATAGGTAATCCTTCGAAAAGTCTTAGTTTCTATACTACAGTTAGCCTAAAGTGCGTTACTTAAATTGCTGCACTATTTTATTTTATTTATTATTTATTTACTTTTCTGTTTATTTTGGGGGGGGGTGGCAGGGTGGCAGAGACAAAGCCTCGTTAAGTAGCTCTGGATGGCTGGAACTCTATATGTAGAGCCTCCTGGCCTTGTTCGAGGATCTGCCTGCCTCCATCTCTCCAAGAGCTGGCTGAGATTAAAGGCGTGCGCTACCAAGCCCAGGTGCACTCATTCTAAACAGCAAGTTTTGCTTTTATACACGCAGATTGGAGGCTTACTGTATATAGAATCTTATGAGGCATCTCAACTATTCTCCCGGGACTTTGTTGCTTAGCAAGGGGATTTGACTACATCAAGGTATTTATCATAAGCCTTACCATGTCAGGTGGGGTAATTTGAGACTCTGCTTCAGACTAATAGAAAAACAAGATGTCTTTTGTGCCTGTGACTTCAGCTTACAAACGCTTGCTTCCTTGTCTTCATGTTTTGAGGCTATGCAGCTGCACCACCAGCATGACACACCTGCCCATTAGCCTGTATCTAAAGTTCCCGGAGAAATGAACGAAAATTGTTTGCTGGGAAGCTTAATTGAAAAATCTGTTTGAAATGGCCCAGGAGGTAGCCCAAAATAGGTTTCACACTAATGTATATCAGGTAAGCATTTTCTGTGCCTTTTTAAGAAAAGAAATTGGCTAAATCTATTTTTACTTGTATATATAGTATCTATTTATGTGGTCTGGTGATGTCATGCCTCATTATAGAATTATCTAGAACTAAACATCTTTCGACATGGTCAGCAGTGCCGGAGGAAAGAGGAAGCAAGACAAGATCCTTGAGAAATCTGAGAAGCGTTATTAGCTTTCTGTCATTCATCTCTGATTATGCACACGCACGCACACACAGCAACACCACCCACACAGCTCCTGGTTGCCCCTCGCAGGGGAATGGGAATATAGACCCTAAGCAGGTTATGAAATCAGTTTGTTTGGGCTTTCTCAAAAACTGTTCACTGAAACAACTTTTCAGCTTCACAATTTATTGTCTACAATGTGGTTTAAATGGCATAGAAGTCATTGGGATGCATCCTAGAGTAAACAGAAGAGGAAATTGAGTCTAACTTAGCTATAATGATACCAATAAGGGGTTGGGGATGTAGCTCCATTTCTTTCTTGTTAGCGTTAATACAGCTCTCACTTCTAGCCCTCACTGTCCACAGACTGCCTGTGTTCTCCTATTCCAATGAAAGTTTGCTGTGATGCAGTATTAGTCAGTAGAATGATTATGGGGTCACGCTCTAGTACATAACTTCACATTAACTGCAGTATAACCTCATATTCACACACGTGCACATGCATGTACACACACACACACACACACACACACACACACACACACACCGAAACAGGGTCTCATGTAGCCTAGACTGACCTCAACCTCATTATGTAGCCTAGAAAGATGTTGAATTTCTGAGACTACTACTTCCCAAGTGCTGGGATTGCAGGCATGAGCCACCACACCCAGTTTGCATTGCTGATGGAACCCAGGGTTTTTGTACTTTCTAGGCAAGCACTCTCCTAACGGAGCCACACCCCCAACCAACCCCTTATTGGTATCATTGTAGCTAAATGAGACTCAATTTCCTCTTCTGTTTACTCTAGGATACATTCCAATGACTGCTATGCTATTTAAGTCACATTATAGACAATAAATTATGAAGCTGAAAAGTTGTTTCCATTAACAGTAATTTTTACTACACAGCACTGTGAAAAGAATGCTTTACTTTGTTTGCTAAGAAGCCATGTTGAGTTTAGGGGAAGAAACGTAATCTTTTTGAACCACAAACCTTTCGAGAGTGAACCTGTAGGAGTTTCTATTGCATGTTCAAATTGTTCATATGGTAATGTAAAAAGATATGTCTTCAGTTTCCACATAAACCCCAGAATTCCTTCTGCACGTGAGGCTCCTTTGCCAAGAAATCCTTAGTTCTTAGTCTGGTACTGGCAGGCTCTGGAGAAGCATGCTGGATATAGGAGGTAAGTTGTTACTCGATCCCTGAAGCATCTATATTTCTTCATTTTCCTTGTTAGGATCTTGGTAATGATCCAGCCGGAGAAAGACTGACTCCAAACTGCATGTGTATGAGAGCTATTCTTCACTCAACTAAAAATCCACCTGAGCTGCCATTTTGAAGTCTTTGTTTCAGAGCAACTAAAATTAAACCATAAAGACAATATTTCGAGCCATGTTTTCTGAGGCACATGTATTCAAGCCGATCTTAATTCTGTTATGCTTAGACATATTGACTTTTTCCTATGCCAGAAGAGAAAATACTGGACACTCTATTTTGAGTTGTTACTACCACCCCCTCAACATACCTCCCACACTTCCTAAGCACCTATTCTGGTTTATTAAATTCAACAAGCTATTTGCATAAGATATTGCATAATATTTCATTTACTGTCTGTGTTTTCCTTTGGAATACAAGCCACATGAAGGAATAGATTTTAGTCAGTGGAATCAGTATCATATCCCTAGGGCCTAGCAGCACACATTTTGTATTCAACAGATGTTACTGAATGAATGAACTGGCACTAAGTAAAACATCTACCTCCTTTTATATATATTCCAGCTCAGATTCATGCAATGTGCATTTTAAGTACATCTATATAGTATCTTTTGTTTATCCTTTTACTTTTGGAAGTACATAAGCAATGCTTCTTACAAATAATAAAGGTATGGTGAAATTTTCTTGTCTTTCAGTTAGCCAATTAGCCCACCATTTAAGAATGCCTTCTTCAATGATCATACGATGATTGATGGGTAGAATGGGCAAGGGGTTAAGGTATGACATGAAGGTTAAGGCGAGGATTCTGCCTTTAACACATTCTAATCAACAACAGACACAAACAATGGATCCATATGTTAAATAAAAATAGATAAAAGATATGGTGATATTTTATTTGTATTAAAATGTTATTTGTATGTTAATAAATAAAGTTGCCCGGGGGTCAGAGCTATTAGCAAGCCATAGGAAAGCAGGGCAGTGGTAGCCTACGCTTGTAATTCCAGCACTTGGTAGGCAGAGCTGGGTAAGTCTCTGTGTGTTCAGGGATACAGCCATTATTGGATGCACATGCCTTTAATCTTAATACCAATCATGGAAAACCTGGAGGCCTATACAGACAGGCTGTGAGGAGGCGGTCATGTGGTTGGGTTTACAACCAATGAGAAGGCAAGACAGGAACTCTATATAAAGACTTTAACACAGGGGTAGCTCTGGTTCGGAGAGGTAGGACCACCGCAGGAGGAAGGGTAAGGTTTTAGCTCTTAGCTCTGACCTCTTAGCTTTCTTCTTTGCATTGGTTCTGTGTTTCTTATTTAATAAGAAGGTTGGATACATCTACATTTGGCGCCCAACGTGGTGGCAAGAGTTTCCACCTAAAAACTGAGAAAAAAGATTCTAAAATGGAACTAAAAACAGTTCCTAATTGTCTCTCTCAAATGAGCGGCAGCTGCCAGTTTGAGCTACTGGTGGGTTCCTAGCATATGGCGGGAATAAGGCCTCTGCAAGTGGCACATTAAGCTGCATGGTGGATTTAGACTTTGCTAGTACAAAACAAAAAAAGAAGTTTCTGGGCTACACGCTGCTTGGATAAAAGCATAGACCCACGATAGCTCCCAGAGCTGGTGGTAAAGTACCATGACCATGTTGGGAAGCTGAGATGGGCGGAGCCAGCAGCCACAGCTGCTGCAGTTTAAACCAACAGATTCACAATAAGACAGATTCAGATGTAATAGTTTACAATGTGTGTAAAAGATACGTAGGCTTGAAAGAGACAAAAAAGATGATATATAGAGTTATAGAAACAAATACCTAGTTTTAAAAAATAAAGTCTTTAAAGAGACAGTAAAGGTAGTATAAAAAATAAGCCACGTAAAAATGGATATTACACAGAGAATCTGCATTGTGTTGTCTTTGGGACTTTTAACTGCAGAAAAACATTTGATTGTAAAAGCTGTTGAGTTATGCCAAAATGTATATTTTAAAGGTACCTTGACTTCAAAATTTGGATATAAGGATATGTTACTTTGGAAAGGAGACTCTGCTTTTGTTTCCACAGAAAGCCAGAGGCTATGGATTTGTTCCAGATTAAGACACATCAGGTTTGACCAGCCAAGACCCCCTGAAAGGTCTCCGATGACACCATGGCCCAGATGATCCAACATCCAGAATGGTTTGAAGGCAACTCGCTCAGACGATACACCCTCATGGACTATTCCATAATCCTAAAATTTTCTTTGTTTCCCCATAAGATACAGCGCCCCCCTCCAGCAGGAAGTAGTAAGAGAAGCTATGCCCAAATTCCCAAATTGTATGTAATTTTACTTTGTTAAGGTTAAAACCTTCCTTTTGAAAAAAAAAAGGGGGGGGGGAAGTGCTGTGGAATGTTCTGTATGGCAAATGTGTTGCTAATTAGTTAATAAATAAAACACTGATTGGCCATTGGCTAGGCAGGAAGTGTAGACGGGACAAGGAGGAGAATAAAGCTGGGAAGTGGAAGGCTGAGTCAGAGAGACGCTGCCAGCCGCCACGATGAGAAACAGCATGTGAAGATGCCGGTAAGCCACGAGCCATGTGGCAAGGTATAGATTAATGGAAATGGATTAATTTAAGCTGTAAGAACAGTTAGCAAGAAGCCTGACACGGCCATACAGTTTGTAACCAGTATAAGTCCCTGTGTTTACTTGGTCGGGTCTGAGTGGCTGTGGGACTGGCGGGTGACAGAGATTTGTCCTGACTGTGGGCCAGGCAGGAAAACTTAAGCTACAAAAAGACTATGAGATGTGCTCAGCCAATAAAGTGGATGGGGGGCAGACGTGAAGACCTAAGTTCAGATCCTTAGAACCCATGTAAAGCAGAACAGGACACAGCAGAGCATCTGTAATGCCTACAAACGGATGGGGTGGAGACAGGAGCTCCAAAAGCAGCTAGCCTTGACAGATGCAGATGCAAACAACAAGAGACCCTGTCTCAAGCAAGGTAGAAGGTGAGGACTGACATCCAAGATTGTTCTCTGACCTCCACATACATGGGTAGCATGCAGACACTCACACTCAAACATACACAAAGAGACAGATTTTAAAAAGTTGGAAGATAACACAATCTTTAGAAAATAATGTGCTGAATATCTATGAAGTGGGAAAAGAAAGTGTGTTTAGTGAATAGAAAGAACTTTAAACACGTGATCCCAGGGATGAAACATGGAGACATAAGGCTGAAGTATTAATGTGCAGGTCAGATCTCAGATACCTTGGATGAATCACAGACTTTCTATAGAGAAAATATAATTCTTGAATGGTTGTGTCTGTATGTGTATGTAAACATGTGGGAGTGTGTGGAGGCCCACAAAGGTTTCCTAGTGAGATCTGAGCTTGCTTTACTCAGCAGAGCTGCATTAGAGGATTGCTTGACCATGTGTGTGGTTATCAGGTGTTTGGAAGGGTCTGCACTTGGATGTGCAGTGTGCTTTGATCTAGCAAGGGGAGGGCTTTTGTCCTACCTGTTGGCATTCCTTTAAAAAGCCTTTTAGAAGAGCCAGAAGGGGCTGATGGATAAGGATCCAGGGCCTCCCGAGCTATCCTGTGTTTCTATCTGTCTTTCTCCCCTCTATCCTTCTATCTAAATATTTCTCACTTCTCCCTCCTCAAGAGTGCCCTGGGGTAAAAGTGGGAGTGGGTCTCCCACAGGAGTGTGTTTGTCCAGGTACTGGAATAAGACTAGAAACTTGGTATTGTTGTACAAATAGGAGAAATTGGAAGTGAGATTTGTTAAAACAACAACAACAAAAATCCTGTTATACAAATCCATCGTATAATGACAGCTTGGAGGCATGATCTTCAGGAAAGGGAAGGCCAAGTGAGAAAACACCTGACTCAACCGATAATTTGTCATATGGAACCGGGAAGATAAAATGGTCAAAACCCTAACACATTCAACATGGAAGATTGATTGTCAAATTGGCAAAACTAAGAAGATCGCATGGGCTGGATGACGGTGCCAGTGTGTGTTTTTTAGGCCTGTGGTCGTTTGAATAAGAATGGTCCCCATCGGCTCATACATTTGAATGCTTAGGGAGCGGCACCATTTGTTGGAGTAGGTGTGGCCTTGTTGGAGGAAGCGTGTCACTGAGGGTTGGTTCTGAGGTTTCCAGGGCCCAAGCCAGGCAGGCTCAGAGGTTCTCTCTCCTCCCTGCTGCTGTGGATCCAGATGTAGGACTCTCAGCTCCTCTGGCAGGCACTCTCTGTCTGCATGCTGCCGTGTTTCCCACCGTGCTAATAAACAGACAAAGCCTCTGAAACTGTGAGCAAACCTCCATTAAATGCTTTCCTTTATAAGAGTTACTGTGATCATGGTGTCTCTTCACAGCAATAGAACACTGGCTAAGACAAGACCCAAGGGTTTTCAATCATAGCAAGATGTTCCACTGGAATAGCCGGCAGAATAAAGAGTTCTGGTACAAAGACACAGTAACAGCTTAAAGTCACCGGCCCCTGCAGAAACTGGAAATGCAACTTTCTGTTGCTACTCTGTTCCTGGCTTCTCCAGCCTCTTTTCTGTGTTTCTCTGCATAATGGACACCTAACATTTCTTTAATTGCTCATTTTTTTTACTTTAGGTAAAATTAGGTAAATAATGCATGAGTATATTTTTACAGTTAGAAATTCAAGCTATGGCATGGAGAGCCCCTCTCCTACCCTTTCACCAAATGTGGCATGCGTCAGTAATCCTACCTGTGTCTTTGCATGAGTTTTTCTATGCCATTGCATCACAGGAGGTATCTAGAGATCTACCTGGGTTTGCATTTGTTTGTCTCTGGTAAATGGAACCATGCTGTATGGTACCATCAGCCATTAGCAGCTGCTAAGGAAACTTTACTGCCAATTTGCTGTAGCTGCAGGGAACCCAGGCAGGGAGAGCTCAGCTGCCAATTACCAGTACATCCAGGATTTAAACTAACACAAATTTCAGAAAAGGCAATGGCCGTGAAAAGGTAGACTAATGTATCAGGTTGAGTATGGTACTGTCAGGTGAGAATACGCCATTATATCTGTATACCCGGGTACCTCAGACAGCATTCCATCCCCTCCCACAAAACATGCACGTTCACTCAGAAATCTTTCAGCTGCTGTTTCTATTGGTATGTGTATGCACTGACATGTGTGAGTGCAGGTGCACTCATAAGATACATGTGTGGAGGTATTGATCCTCATCTTCACCTTCCATCTCGTGTGAGGTAAGGTCTCTTGATGGCCATGCTGCATTTGCCAAGCTAGCTGCTTGTCAAGCTTCCAAGGATTCTGCTGTCTCTGTCTTCCATCTTGACTGACAACAAGAATGCTGGCATTACACACATGTGTGCTACCGTGTATGACTTTTATGTGGGTTTTGGGGATCCAGCCGCAGGTTCTTTTGTTTCTTTGGCAAGAACGGTACCACATAGGTCCCAGGGATCAAACTCTGGTCATCAGACTTGACCTTTTCCCACTGAACTATCTTCCCAGGCCCAGAACTCTATTTATTTATTTTTACTTTCTTTGAGAGAGGGTCTTGTTCTGTAGCCCAGGCTGGCATTGAATGTCAAGGCAAACTTTCTGCCTCAGCTTCCCAAGAACTGGGATTACCATGCCTGCCTGGAAAATAATATTTTTATTATTCTTTAAGACTTATTATTTGGGGGAATGTAATA